CACAACCCTAGCAACCAAAAGGACAAAATGAGCTAGCACGCAGAGGAATAAATTACTGCCAGATTTACATGGCGGAGAGACATCACACACCCAGCCTTAGGAGGGGAGGAATCAGGAGGCATTCAGGGAGCCGAGTTGAGACTGTACATAGATTGGGGGCCAGGGCTGATCTCACACCTTCTACCAAGAGCTTCTGAATGAAGCTCTGACAGTAAGTAATACCTACAAGGGTGCCAGGATCGTAAGAAGTGAAGTGACCTGCCCAAGGTCACAAAAAAACAGCAAGTGGTGGAGGCAGAACTTGACCGATGCCTCCGGGCTTCCACTCACAGCCGCTGGGACTCTGTAACAGTTCTCAAAACCATCTTTTGTTCCCTGGCATTCACAGACAGAGCCTTACTTTACAGTCTTCAAGTTCCATTATTATGATGCCCATGAGGCATAGGAGGAAACTGAGGCCTGAAGAATGGAAGTCATTTGCTCAAGGTCTCACTCCCAAAACTGCAATTCTTGACCATCCTCCAGGATTGTCAGCAGGACAATGCCAGCACTGATTGGGGCACCTGAGGATTCTTGGAATCAAGGTATTGCACCCCTTGGGTTTAATCTCAGGGCAGGGGAGGGGGACAAAATTGCTGCGGCCCATGGAGGGGGGAGGGGGGAGGGAGGTCTCCAAGGCGAGGTCAAAGCTAACGCTGTGCCAGGCGCCAGGGCCTCAGGCCTAGTTCCCAGGTCTGAGCCTGAGGCAGGAGGGTCCGTAGAGGCCGGAGAGCTGCGTTTATACGGCCTGAGAGGGCAGCGGGGCCGTGAACTCGATCCCGGGGAAGCCTGTTCTCCGAGCTGGGGGCCGGGAGTAGTCTCTCTCGGGACCAGCGACCAGCGCAGAGGCGGCTCAGCACGTGTTGATCCGGCATCGGTCTGACCCCTGCTTGGGCGTCTCCCTGTCAATCTGCGCCTGGGGGGTGGGGAGGGTGACCAGGCTGGAGCCGCCCAATCAGTGGGAGTGGGGGAGGCTGAGGCCCCGAGAGGAGGATCGCCTACCGGCGCCCCAGGGGAGGGGTCAGGAGCCACTCCGCTGGAGGGGGACACAGTCTGGGATCT